GTATAACGCAATGGTAAAACGCAAGAATAGAACTGGTTCTATTTTTGCGTTTTACCACTGTGTTATACAGCACTTCCGGTCGCAACGCAAGAATTCCGAACCTAGTTATACGATGCATTACGTAACCTACGTTAGATATTATAGACTACGTTACGTAGTCTAAAATATCTATGGTAGGATTCACCCCACTTCAAAATGGCTACTGCAACTTTTGCAGCCTTGCTAATTGCTATACCGGGAAAACGAGCTCCAATGCTTACCAGACTTCTTAGAGGACCTTATCTTGACCAGAGGACTCCAATGGTATCACTAGTGTGGCTCTAAACCTTGTCTAAGAGGAAAGTCATAACTGTGAGCTATGACCAGGGGCGTAGCTGGACCTTGGGTGACGGTAGAGTAAGGGAACAAAATGGCGTGCGGAGTGCGCCGCGATTTTGGCCACACCCCTTTTACGTAACAAAATGGAGGCATTTTCCTGCAAGCTGAGCGAAATCAGAGTGAAATTATCATTGTATATAGCTTTTTAAAAGCTGTGGTTATTAGCCACCCCCTTTTGTTATTGTAAGAACAATGAATATAATCTTTTAGGTTATAATTTCAATGAATATAATTATAAGGTCACTTTGATGGTAGGGCCCAGGCCCCTCAGGCCCTACCTCAGCTACGCACCTGGCTGTGACTGTTGGATCGTACTAGCTTACCTCATTCCGCCATTTTGTTAATTAAAGAAGCATGTGCTCCAAATTTGGGTGTGGCCGGCTGGCCGCGCATGCTCAGATCTCACTATAGATAATAGAGTAAATGAAAGGGATTGGAAACGGAAGCATGAGCATGAGCAAACCTCCATTCATTTGTATTGTTGCTAAGTAAACGGGCGGGTTGGGATTTTTTGACAGATTTTGGAGCAAAACAGAGATTTTCCTGCTTTATTCTTGAATAACTCCAAGAGAATACAATTCATGCAAACAAAACTCACACACAATACTAACCAATGTTTATGCTTTTTATTAATATTTTTTTCAGTAAATCAATGCATGCGTTAGTAGCTGCATCACTCTTTAACTAGAAATACCATCTTTTCCCCCTCTGAGAGACTCATTTTGTTCTTGAGCTACAATTAATTATAACCATTTTAAAGAGCTTGAAATCTCCTATGGAATGAGCTAATTTGGATGTTGATACCATGAAGCTTGAGTGTTTTATGAACAATAAAGTGTTTCAAAAACAGGTGACTTTGTGTACCTCTAACTGGTTGCAAAATGGCTTTTAGGAAACAAAAACCTTGCTGCAGGTAGCTCTAAAAATTTTATGTGGAATAGGCCATATATCAAAAGCAAGTGCTATCCTGGAGCAACATAAATTTTCTTCGAAATCCTGCCAGAGCAACTTCATCAATGGAGGAGATGGGAGATCAATTAAAACACTGATGGTTGCTATGCTTGGAATCAATTGCAATACTTAATGGAGGTTTCCAGCTAAGAGAAGGTATTAATCCTGCATACTATTCTTTTATCAAGTGTGTAATGAATTATTTTATTTCAAAAAACTAACAATTAATTAATGTTATAATACTAATGATAATATGAACTTGAAGTCTTGACAACAGGAAGAACAGGAATAGCTACAGGATTGCAGAGAAGATAGAGCTTCTTGAACAAGGACTCGCTGTCTCTCATAAATGCTGTAAAGTCATATCAATAATAATAAAACTATTGTTTGTGTGTAAAATCAATGAGTATCACAATTGCAACTGAAGAAATATTATAAGTATTATAAAAAATTAACACAAACAAGAACATAAAAAAATTAAAAAACAAAATTGAGCAGGATTCCGAACGACCAACGAAAATAGAAATAAAAATCCTACTCTTGTGATGCAAATTCTACTCTACATTGCAAGGTGATCCATAATTCTTACATAATAACCTTAAAAGTACAGTGTAGAGTAGAATTTGCGTCGTGAGAGTAGGATTTTCATTTCGTATTTTTGTTGGTCGTTCGGAATCCTACTCAATCTTGTTTTTTTTATTGTTTATGTTTATATATTGTACTGCATCTAATTTCTGCTTATTATAATAGTAAAAATGTATGAATAACAAAAGAAAAAATATATAAATATAACAAAAGGACAATTAATACAATTGATGAGTACAATGTATGTTACTTTGTTTATTTATAATTTGTTTGCCAGTTCATGTTCATTAATTGATTCTAATGCCATTATCAGTGTCTCCAGATTTTTTGTTGTTCCTAAAACAGGAATATGCCATTGACTCCTTTGATGCATGATACTCTTTTAACTACCAATAATGAGGGGTCACATGTAAGTACAGCATACAAGAATTCTATAAAAAAAGAGGAAAAAAATGAAAATGAGTTTTTAAATGCATATTTAATATTGCAAACACTATCTTAATTATGTCTTACCTTTATTCATCTTCCCACTAGCCAATGGGATTGTTGAATACATTTCTTTTGTATCATTACATGTTGATAAGGACTTTTGTATCCTCTGTTATTTAAAACAACTGTATTCCGAATTATTAAGATTTAAGCAGGAATGTTCTAGGGATGTTCTGTGTCACTACAGAATAATTCTTAGTGAGTGAGTATAAAACATTCCCTTGATTTTTCAGTATTATGCACTTTTTCTTCTATTGTTGGTGGGGCTTTGAGCATACTTAGTGTCCAAGTATACTACTCTGGTTGTACAAGTGTAGGATACCTCCCTGTCTGGAGGTGGTTATGGGTACTAACTCCCGCGAGATAAGTGCGGCACTGAGCCGGAGTCATGTATACCCATAATCACCTCCAGTACAGGGAGGCATAAAAATCTAGCTACTGATTTTCAATGGTTATAAAATACAAAATGGAAAATTTAGGTGTTGGAAAATTTCATATGCTGCCTATTTAGTCTAATATATTAATAGGGAAAAAGGGAATATTAGCAATTCTAAATTTAGTATGCCACATTGCTATACAAAAATTACCATCACTCGAAATATACCAGATTTACTAGCTGTAGTACGGCTAGTATTGCAGTATTGTTCTTATGTAAACTATGAAATTCCAGGTTGGTTAAGGCATGGATATATATATACTGGGGATATATACCATAACCCTTTCCATGGTAACCTCCCACACACCATGGTATAACTGCAAAGAGTGGATTCAGCCTAAATTTTTAAAATTATAGCAACAGCAAACTTGAGCAAAGTAATGATATAAAGAGATTAAAATAATTAGCATACGCTTCCTATATAGGATTAAAGTCAACTAGTTTTACTTCTTTATCATTATGCTCATGTTTCTTTTTGCTAGCTTTTCCTATTCCAAATCTATTCTCTGTAATGACAATATCAAAATAATGGAAATGTTAATGATTATTATACTTTTTGTAGAGAAAAAAGCCATGACAATTCCGATAACAATGATAATAAATATGACTACTGATACTAATGCTATCACTAGTCCAGTAGGAAAAGACGCCTCTAATTAAAATGATTTGATAATATAATATCAACATTTTTAGCTAACCATTAGCATCTGCAGGGGTTGTTGAGGATGGCAAGCCAAAAGATGAAGATGGTGATATTATAACTGAAATTGTTTCCATCACAATAATATCCCAAACAGCAAAAATTTTGTCTGGCTCATTGAAACATCCAACATAAAGTGTGACAGTGTAATTGCTGGGGTTCACCTCTTTTGTGCAAACACAAGGGTTTTCTCTAGTTATACTAATAGTGCCATGATTATGACCACTGCTACACTTGTATTCTACTAAACATTCCATGGTGTCACTTCCATCAATAAATTCAACCCCAACACAGATTTTTAAGTCTTCAACTGTAACATTTGATTCTTGAACTCCAAATGTATCTATGCACATTAGTTAGTGTTTTTAATAATTAAACAAATATCTTACTTATCTCAACTGGTTCAGATATTAATATACTAGTGCCATACTCTAAACTGATCAACATATTCCATTTTCTTTTGTCTATTTTTCCTGTCCTTATAGTCCCACTCACTTGTCCTTGATGATTAACTTTTGCATTTCCACTTGCATTAGTAGTGTCATTGAAATGTGCTATGATGTTATAGTCCCCAGCTAAGAATGAGGTGGTCTACAAGAACAATACCGTATAGCGGAAAATTTTCGTGGCCCAAAATTTTCGTGGATTTCGCGTTTTTTCAAAATCCACGAAAATAAAATCCGCGAAAATCAATTTTATACAGTTTAAGATGGCCGAATTGTAGAAAACCACGAAAATTAAACCCACAAAATTGATTTTTGGACGGATCCACAAAAATTTTGGGCCACGAAAATTTTCCGCTATACGGTATATGTGATATTCATTGAGTGGTTAATGGTGTGAATATAGTTATGGTCAGTTGCTTACGGAAGCAGTAAAGGTGAAATTCCATTGACCTTGTCTTGTTGAGCTATTTAAAATATGAACATTTTCCCATGTACCTGTTGATAAAATGCATTTTTTCTATTGAATTAACAAAATATTCTTACTACTTGGTCTTAAATCCACAATATCAAATGACACCGTGGCAGCACTTAGGCCAGCACTGCTATCGGCAGCTACACTGATATTATACTGCCCATATTGTTGACAATATTGTTTAGGGCAGTAACTGACAGTAGTGCTGTTTGAAATTAATGTTTCAGTTTTTTCAATATTTGCAATATCAATATTGACAATGTAGTGCTGTATAGTAAATGGTGCTTCCCAGCTACACTCAATACAGTCATCATCCGTCTGTTTACAGGATAAGTTGCCAACTTCAGATAATACACCTGTCAACACATTATTATACTGACAATAATTATCGTTACTCGGTGATACATTACCTTGTACTCTGAGTATCACTGAAGATGGGCTAAAGTGACCAATACCATATCCAAATGCAACACATTGTACTTCAGTGTTATTAAATGGATCCACTAGTCCTGGCATAATGAGAGAAGACACTGGTGTTCCTACTCCATTAACAATAACACCACGTGAAGTAAGTGACGAAGCTGATACTGTTTTATTCAATAACCAACTAATAGTGACAAGTGAATGATTTGATGAACAGTTGAAGACTACTGTATTTCCCTCATCAATAGTAGGAGGATCGGGAGTTGAAGTGAAAGTTACCTCTACGCCGGATTTTACTAGATCTAGAAGTTATTATAAACATAGATATGTTATAAATCACGAAACGCTTCGCTGATAGTCTACTGAACTAACCGGTCAGAAAAGGCATCACTGCCAACCATAGCCATAGATTTATGACCCTCGTCATTGTCAGAGCGAGATTGGTCAGAATGTTCTCTTTCGGTAAACTAGCCTTTTACGGCTGTTTATGTACATACTATAGTCCATATGCATAATCCATGTATAGGAGGCTACGCTTAATCATAGTAACAAGAGTAGATAATAATTAGAGGAGACTGCTTCATCACGGCGTAGAATTAAAGAGTCACATTCAGGATATTTTCAGTATTTTTGAGTAGTTATTCAAAAAATAACTTTTTAATAACTAGCAATAACTACTCAAACTCAATGAAAATACGGAAATATCCTGAATGTGACTCTTCAATTCTACGCCCAGACTCATTAAAAATTGAGTCTAGATTCCGGGATCCCGCAGTACTGTGGATTTCACCATACAGCCTCGGTGTCTTGCACTTCACTTGGATCACAACATAGATATTAGAGTAAATGAAAGGGATTGGAAACGGGGCATAGCAACAGGAAATGCTAGTTGGGTTACCACGTGACAACCATCAGTGTTTTGCCATCTCTAGGATGCCATCATCTATAGAGATGCCATCATCTAATAGAGATGCCATCATCTAGGAGATACAGACTGCTGTATCTCCCTCAGCAATAGTAGGAGATGAAGTGAATGTCACCTCAACATTGCCTACCAGTAATCAAATAGTGAATCCTATTATATAGAACTTCTCAGTACTAACCTGATGTAGACACTATAACTGATATCAGTAACAATAAGAAGAACGTCATTTTCTAAATCTTGACTTGTTTACTTTATAACATCATCATTTGTCATGATGAGTAAAGGCATTGATACAACTAATAAAAAACAACATTAATAGTTTTGATAACTACAAATGAAGTGACTATCCACCATGGATACACATCACTAAAGATACAGACACATTTAGTCTACATGTATATAAGAGTTTAATGTCTTTGTGATACTACACCATAAGCAGCACATGATTCCAACTGCAACTCATCAACTGATAATGGAGGAGGAAGAGACGAAGTAGCAGGTATTACTGGAGAAGTTATAGCTGATACTCCTAATCTAAAAATTACGACAAAATATTATCAAATAATATCTTACCAAGGACTGATGGACTTTGGCCACATTTTTAAGCTAACTTTAAAAATTTATAAATTCATTTTTGATCAAAATCAGCTCAAACTTCTACACAACATAAGAACATGTAGATCTATATGTATCAGGGCTATTATTAGTATACTGTTGGTGTTATTAAGCAATTGTTGAATAATCTGCATGGTAATGCTGTTATTTCTATTAATTTACTACAGGACATTCTCTTATGATCTCATTCAAGATGTCTAGCAAAACAATAATATTATCACAAGAAAAGCTAATTTATTCCTCTAAAGTACATCATGTTTGCTATTGTTATGCTATTATCATTGTTATTCAGTATTATGTATTAATTGGTTATTGGCATATTGTGCCACATAACTTTTTCCAGAATTATTAATGTCGTTATTGCATATATTAGTAATGATGTTATTAACTTGTCTAGCAGTTTAAAGATTCTACACTAAAATTCACTAAAATTACCGGTAGTACACACAATTATTGTTACAGGTTTTCAGTGTCTTTGTATCACAACTCCATATGCAGAGCATTCATTGGTTGGTATGTTATTGACATTAGCATTAGTACCAGTTATCATCTCAATGTTTTCATATTGGGCAGGAGGGGAAGGATTTCTCTCTTCTTCAGTTGTTATTGTGTTACCTATATCATGCTCGTAAAAACTACTGATCATTAATGAATAACACACCTTTTTTCCTGCACCAGATTACAATAAAAAGATAAATGAAAATAGACGCAAAGCACACTACAAGTGACAATCCCAGTATAGCACCTAAAATTACAAAATAATTTTAATTCAATTTCTTTCAGTTGTTTACCTCCAGTTGTGGCAAGTAAAGTTGATGAACAACTGGAAACAGTAGGAGATTGTAAATTTACTGTTGTTGATTGGTTTATTGAGAATAAAGGAATACTAGAACTGAAAGTAGATTCAATTGTAGGCAATGATCCAATAACAATGACTGAAGTAGAAGCTGCAGGTGAATATAAATAAACAGATCCATCACTATTGATATCATAGACACTGATACTGTATTGACCAGGTTCAACAGTCCCTGGGATTGATCCTATTCTGAGTTCTCTTAAAACAGTAGTTATGTAGTATAGTCCAATTGATGTTTCATGCATGACAATGTAACATCCAATTGCTTGTGACCCATGTACAAACTCACACATAAAACTGGTATTAGTGCTTTCAGTATAGAGAGAACTGTAAAGCTACTGATATCAAAGAAGCCTGTGTATGTACAAACAGACCAGTATGTGAGTAGTAAAGAATGATAATCAATTGTAAGCTTACTAGATCTAATAATAACTACATGGGAAGAGTTGGTAGTGTACAAGTCACTAACATGTGATAGTATTATTATAGTAAAGTTGTAATATCTGTCATCTGTTGATGAAGATGAGATATTGAATGTAGCTAATAGTTGACTCATAGTGATGTCAGTTATGTTGGTTGTATTATAACTGAAGGTACTATTAGTTTCTTGTAGTGATACTTGACTGATGCATAATGATGAACTGGATGGGGATAATTCAATCTATTATGATCCTTTAAAATTATTTATTATTATTATTATTAATGCTTACTTTAATAACCATAATCCAGTTTTGGAAACCATCACGATATTGTTGTACAAGCTCATTATTTAAAAGTACAGCTACATAATTGGAATAAACAATTCCATGTGCCATTATAAATGATATACTTACAATTTATTACATTGAAGATGTAATTAAATACTTCCCCTTCTCCTACACTATTGACAGCAGCTATACTAACAGTGTGGATACCAAAATTCTTAGGACAGTATGTCAATTGTGATACACTGACATTAGTTTGAAGTAGGATACTACCAGTAGATGTGATGTTAATATTATATCTTAGTATAGGAAAACCAGGTAGAGTGAAAGGAGGTGTCCAATAGAACTGATAACAACAAGAATCATTAGACTGTACTACAGTTAGATTATTAACAGGTTCTGGTCTACCTTGTACCCTCAGTATCACTGAAGATGGGCTGAAGTCACCAATACCAAACCCAAATGCAATACATTGTACTTCAGTGTCATTGAATAGATCTACTAGTCCTGGTATAGTGAGAGAAGAGACTGGTGTTGCTGCTCCATTAACAATAACACCAAGTGAAGTAAGTGTTGAAGCTGATATTGTTTTATTTAGTATCCAAGTAATAGTGACAGCTGAATGATTTGATGAACAGTTAAAGACGGCTGTATCTCCCTCAGCAATAGTAGGAGGATCATGAGATGAAGTGAATGTCACCTTAATATTGCCTACCAGTAATCAAATAGTGAATCCTATTATATAGAACTTCTCAGTACTAACCTGATGTAGACACTATAACTGATATCAGTAACAATAAGAAGAACGTCATTTTGTAAATCTTGACTTGTTTACTTTATAACATCATCATTCATCACAATGAGTAAAGGCATTGATACAACTAATAAAAAACAACATTAATAGTTTTGATAACTACAAATGGAGTGACTATCCACCATGGATACACATCGCTAAAGATACAGACACATTTAGTCTACATGTATATAAGAGTTTAATGTCTTTGTGATACTACACCATAAGCAGCAGATGATTCCAACTGCAACTCATCAACTGATAATGGAGGAAGAAGAGAAGTAGCAGGTATTACTGGGGAAGTTAGAGCTAATACTTCTAATCTGAAAATTACGACAAAATATTATCAAGTAATAACTTACCAAGGACTGATGGACTTTGGCCACGTTTTTGAGGTAACTTTAAAAATTCATAAATTCATTTTTGATCAAAATCAGCTCAAACTTCTACACAACATAAGAACATGTAGATCTATATGTATCAGGGCTATTATTAGTATACTATTGGTGTTATTAAGTAATTGTTGAATAATCTGGTACTGCTGTTATATCTATTAATCTTCTACAGGACATTCTCTTATGATCTCATTCAAGATGTCCAGCAAAACATTTATTATCACAAGAAAAACTAATTTATTCTCTAAAGTACATCATGTTTGCTAATTGTTATGCTATCATCATTGTTATTCAGTATTATGTATTAATTAATTATTGGTATATTGTGCCACATAACTGATTGCAGAATTATTAATGACATTATTACATATATTAGTAATGATGTTATTAACTTGTCTAGCAGTTTAATGATTCTTATCTAAAATTCACTAAAATTAGTACACACAATTATTGCTACAGGTTTTCAGTGTCTTGTATCACAACTCCATATGCAGAGCATTCATTGGTTGGTATGTTATAGACATTAGGATTAGTACCAGTTATCATCTCAATGTTTTCATATTGGGCAGGAGGGGAAGGATTTTTCTCTTCTTGAGTTCTCCTTGTGTTACCTATATCATGCTTGTAAAAACTACTGATCATTAGTCTATGAATAACACACCTTTTTTTCTGCACCAGATTACAATAAATAGATGAACAGAAAGAGACACAGAACAAATTATAAGTGACAATCCCAGCGTAACACCTAAAATACAAAATAATTTTAATTTAACTTACTGGTATTTCAGTTGTTTACTTCCAGTTGTTGTAAGTAAAGTTGATGAACAACTGGAAACAGTAGGAGATTGTAAATTCACTGTTGTTGACTGGTTTATTGAGAATAAAGGAATACTAGAACTGAAAGTATATTCAATTGTAGGCAATGACTCAGTAACAATGACTGAAGTAGAAGCTGCAGGTGTATATAAATGAACAGATCCATCACTATTGATATCATAGACACTGATACTGTATTGACCAGGCTCAACAGTCCCTGATATTGATCCTATTCTGAGTTCTCTTAAAACAGTAGTTATGTAGTATAGTCCAATTGATGTTTCATGCATGACAATGTAACATCCAATTGCTTGTGACCCATGTACAAACTCACACATGAAACTGGTATTAGTGCTGTCAGTAGAGAGAACTGTAAAGCTTCTAACATCAAAGAAGCCTGTGTACAAACAGGTGTGAGCAGTAAAGAATAATAATCAATTGTAAACTTACTAGATCTAATAATAACTACATGGGAAGAGTTGGTAGTGTACAAATCACTA